AGTCAAATATTTGTCAACAGCCTTCTTCTTCCTCTTTAGGTAACCACACTGTTCTCCGTTCTCGAGAATGCATACTGGAGGGGTCTCAGCTGCTCTGGGCCGACCGTGTCTTCTACGATGGGAAGGTGTATCTGACTCTGGACCACACTGACACGTGGACAGCACACGTACCGGAAGCACTGGCCTTCAAAGTGTTGTGGGAGAAGGAAGAGCAGCGCACAAAAATTGAGAGTACCCGTCTGCAGGAGGAATGCGTCAAGCTGATGAAAGAACTGATGCTTTCTCAGGAGCAGTCTGGTATATATTCTTTTTAGCGTTTGGAAAAATGTGAAACTAACATCAACCCAATAACCTATTAATGCATGTTACACACGGAGTATGCTTTTAAAATTAACCAATGTTTGTATTTGATAAAGAATTTAATTTAATAGATAGGATCAATGCAATTTAACATAGTTACAATACAGAGCATGACATTGATATGCTCCAGAGAGAGTTTTAGCTGTGACTAATTGTCAACTTTTGTCCCAATTTTTGCTTTCTTATGTCAAGATTAGTTAAGGATAAACAGCTTTCAGTATAAACAAAAACCAATACATTCCAAATATTTAAATACAATAAATATACACATACACTAATACACCGTGGCAATTTACAGAAATATTATAAATTGAAAATGCTTTTAGACAATTATTCTTAAGGATTTTATATGTGGAATTACTTTGATTTCTGTTGGAAATGCGTTCCAGAGTTGAAGGTCCTTTATGAAGAAAGCTAGTTGTTCACATAGAGATCTACCAGTTATTTTAAAGTTGCCATTCACCACATGCTCCTAGTTTCTTTGTTACCATCTGGTCTTTAGATATAGAAACAGGCTCTTGGGCTGCACTGTTAAACATTTTTAAAACGAATTTGAGAAAACCCAAATTATTAGATGTATTAAAGTATTACTGCAGTAATTTTAACTATAAAGGTATGTATGAAAATGGTAGCATTAATATAAATAGTTGTGACGATAAGAGGCCTGTATCATGAATAATCAGGACAAACTTTTTTGTAATGCAGCACCAGGAGCACCCATTCTACATTTTCATTCACTGCTGTGAACAAATGTACAATACCTGTAGTGAGACTAACTCACGTACTTGTCTAGTAGCTTTGAATATTAGTACAGAGAGAAAAAGCCTTAATGCCTAACTGGTGGAGGCAGCTGATGGTGTTTAACTGTAAGTCATATGACACGATGGAAAAAAAGAAAGGTTGTGAATTGAAAGTAAAACATTAGTTTGTCCCTATGATTGCGACAGTTCATCTCTACATACAATTTCCCACACATTTTACCGTGACCATTTTTACAGGTCAATTTTATTTTATTTTTCCAGTTCCAGGGATACCTTTGCCTCAGTTCCTCATTCCAATCTTGGCAGTCCTGGTGTTTATAGGTCTAATCATGATCACTATCCTCCTCTCAAAACAAGGTGAGTAAATAAGAGTTTTCCTTTTACATTTAAATAATTATTACAAAAGTTACCGTGCCAGTCATCACAGATGTTTGCTCAAAAGCAGCCTTCCAAATCAGCAATAAGCTAGTTTGAAGTGTTGTGCTGCATGTTGTTAGCAGACAGTGGCAGCTATTTCATATTTTTTTATTCACCATCATAAAATGCTCCATATCATGGCTGTATTGTTGTCACATGATTTGGGTATGGAGTCTCATGCTCACAGGGGAATATAAAGCATAGTCATGTGCTTTGTCTTTCTCACACTCTCTGCTTAGGTCTGAGGCACCCTGGAGGTAAGAAAACAACATTCCTGTTTTCTCTTAAGTTCCTGAAGACTTTTCTGATAACAGTCTTGGGATGATTCACTGTGACTTCACTTTTATTACTGAATACATTTTATTACTGAATTTCATACATAATATGACTGAAGTTGTCAGGTCAGATATGGGACCATCATAGCGTCAGAAATAAAACATAGTGAATGCTGATAAGAATTGTTCTAGGAATGACGTCAAATAATTTAAAACAGTGAGTGAGAGTGATAAGCTTATTATGTTTATGTCTTTTTTCTGTGCTTTTTGTTTTTCTTGCAGGAGTTGTTGGCTCGATTATACATTACCCTAAAGACATCGGTGAGACCGCTCCAGAAATAAAAGGCAATGGTTACCGTACCTTGTAGTTCAAAGCTCCAGCCGATGAACAGAACCATGTTTGAGCTTTCCCTCCATTTCTACTGTTGAATGTCCCCCTGCTGATTCACCATTGGACAGTGTTGCTTCCTTAATGGAACCAACATTTTCCAACAGTAACAACTGCCCCAATGTTTGAAACCCCTATAGTCTGGATTCCAGGTTATTTAATGCACTTTAATGTTTGTACCACACTGAATTAACACATTGCATATGCATTTAATATATATACATATTCTTATAAACGCACACACCCAAAGAAATGAAAACATAATCACTGCCTGAAGCAATGTACAAGCTTCTTTTTGCAAAATGAATAACCATATGAGCAGATGTTTTAATTATTTCTGGACTGAGCTAATCCAGTAAACAATGCATGTGTATGTCACACTGAACTCTGCCAAACACTGGATGAACTGTTGAGGTGTCCTGTTATCCAAAGACTGTGCTGCATACTTATGATTTTCACATTTCTTTGTGATACGTTTTTGTGACTGTCTATATGTTCCCCTATTATTTGTTTGTGTGACATTTGAGAAAAATGTTCTATTAAATTAACTTTTATGGAATATTTGTCAGATTTATTTTCTCACTCAGAGTCAGATTGCCCTATTGATTATGTATTCTAGCCTATTCTAAACAAGAATTCATTTCGCCCCATTTTATATTATAACAGGTTTGGGCTTCACAGAAATATATACAAATGAAGATATACATTTATATATATATATATTTAAATATATTTTTTTGTGCTTTTTGTGCCTCACTCTGTATAAGATAGTGTAGTGGCCACTTCAAGATTCAAGGCTTTTATTGTCCTTTGTACATAGCTACAGTGTAGTTTTGACAATGAAAATCTTAGATCACAGGCTCTTCCAACAGTGCAACACAATAAAACAGATAATAGTGCAAGTAAATAAAATAAAATAGAATATAATGGAAATAATGGAGAATAGTCTATATACAAGTAATTGGAATATTGATATATATAAGTTGCAAACAGATGACTGTTATGGATGTTCTTTCAAAAGTTCACTTAACGAAAATCCAAGTTTTATTTTGTCTCACACACTAAAATCCATTCGAAAAACAACAAAACTACACCTGCATAATACACCATTAAAAAAATGACAAACTATAAACAACCTGTAAAATAGTTTTAGAACTTGTTAAACATGTGTCAATAACCTAAACATTTGAGCAAAACAGACAGGGCTGCAATGGCTCTTACAGATGGCTAATGTAGCAGGAAAAGAGTTGGACAGTTGCACCTCATCATTAGTCAGTCATACACTTTTATAAAATGTGTTTGTGTGATGATTTCAAGATAGTTCAGAAGTTTCCACATTGACATTCATTTCCATAATTATTGTTTTAATTCTCTGGGAAACAATTGTTTTTAATATCAAAGTTATCTTGCTTGATAGCAAAAACAATCAAAAAGAGCAGTATCAGCTGCCTGCCGTTATCCTTCTGCTCTTCTGGCACATATAATCTTATGAGACACCAATACATAAAGGACCAGATTTGATAATGGTTGATAAAGTTTTAGTCAGAGACAGAATGTTTCTCTTGATGTCAAGGTTAGTTTCTGTGATTGACTTGAATGTTTGAAAGACAGTGATTTATTTTGATTTATTTTTATACTTGATTTCGAACACCAGATTTTCCATGATAACAGAATTTCATTGGGAGCCCACTGAAAACTAATACTGTATATCTTATTTATTTTAATTTCAAGAAAACATGCTTCCTGGATTTAGCAAAGTGTTTTTTATTCACACAGACATCAGATAATATACCGTTGTCTGTGTCTAAAATAAAGTCTGTATTATAAGTATTCTAAATGAATCGATACAAAAACAACAACTCTAAAACATTACTCTAGTTGTATCGTTAGGGGCTTTACTGATTTGTTGGCGCACCATCCATTATGCATGAGGTGGACATTTCCACTAATTGATCAAGAACTTAATCTAATTAATATCCATAATCACACTTGGTATTTTATCAAATAGCAGAGACACAAACACTTGTTTCACTGGACAGACATGACCAGAACATGACAAAAACTCAACTCTACCCAACTGTAAAAATGTATGTATGCATTTAAAGATTCCATTTCTCAATATGCTTAATAGAATTGAATGAAACATTTGAATAACGTTCGGCTTTCTGTCTCTCTTTTGAAAGGTCGGTAGATGCTTAAGACAAATGTAAAATAAGAGCCATTATGACCCAACACTGGAAAAATGTACATTTATTATTTATATTTCAGAAATATTTTGGACTGTTTATTTCTTGTGTCTTAATTTCTCCTATGTACATTGCCTTGTTTTTTTATGCTGCTGCAACGCCAACATTTCCCAAATTGGGATCAATTAAGTACCTATCTATCTATCTATCTATCTATCTATCTATCTATCTATCTATCTATCTATCTATCTATCTATCTATCTATCTATCTATCTATCTATCTATCTATCTATCTATCTATCTATCTATCTATCTATCTATCTATTGTTTCTGCAGCATAATAATAAAATAGCAAAAGGAAAAGATATATAAAAATAAAACATAGTTATATACACTTTTACTCTCTTAATCCTTATTCAGAACATTTTGATTCTTACAATTTTAACTCTGTTCTTGTTTACGTTTGACACAATCAAAACGTTATCATAATTTGTCCGATAGGTGGCGGTATATTTCTGGGGAGGGAGTTTCTTCCACCAATCACATCAACGCATTCGTAAAATGCCTGCTGGTAACGGCCGTTTCTTGAACAAACCAATCACAGGAGCGCGTACAGGGATTTAAACCGTGTGTCGTCATCGTCCCGACATTCAAACTTTAGAAAGAAACGAGAGAGGAACAACAGAGTTTGGTGCAGCAAAGTCAACGTTTCATTTAAGAGGTGAGGTCATAATCTTTTTATTGTAAAAGGCCTACTTTTGAATATAACATTTAAGCTGTTAAGGCTACTGAATTGAATGCTAACGTGTTATCATTCACTTCATGGTCAACTAGCTATGATAAACGAAATATAACCTATTTGAACGCTAGACGGTTTAAGCTCCTGTGAAACGACTTCTTGTTTGAATTTTTTGCCGAATTAAATTAAAACGTTTTCTGGCTCACATCAGCCGCTGCAGTAGCTGAAGTTGGATCCGAGCGTTAGCATTTGTCGCCCATTACACTAACGGACCGTATTACTATTTCCCCTGACGTAACAGGCTGTGAACACCTGGATAAAATGGCGCAGTTCGGGTTTGAGAATGACATCCACAGTATCCTGAAGCTGGATATGCCCATCACAAACGCTCCCATGGCAAGGTGGCAGAGGAAGGCCAGCTCTTCTAACGCCTCTGCGCTGTCGCCTGGCAAGTCTGCCAATGTGTCTCTTAGTACAACAAAAACGCCTAGCAAAACACCAGGTAGTTTGTGCAACTCTATCTATGCAACGTAAACACGCTCGATGTGTTTTGTTTCTGGAGATTTTAACCACTTTTTTTGTATTGTAGGCAAAAATAAAAAACAAACACCCTCTAAGATGGGAGGCGACCGCTTCATACCTACCAGAAACAGCAAACAAATGGATGTTGCAAGCTTTCTGCTCGCTAAGGAGAATGAAACTGTGGACACAAACGAACACAATGCAACATCGGTACGTTTACAAAATATTGATTTATCTTTTAGTGATCCTATAGTTAAATAAAGATTGTATTTATTAAGATCATATGTGTCTCTAAAGGAAAACCAAAAGGCCATGTCGATGTCACTAAACGGATACAACATTGAAGAGGCAAAGATCCTGCATCTTGGAGGGAAGCCGCTGAATGCTCCAGAAGGTAAGGATATGTGTTTGTCAACATGCTGCATCGCAAGAATATTGCATGCATATAAAGGGGTGTCTGTGAATTAACCATTTATTTTGTCCTATTTACAGGGTATCAAAACAACTTGAAAGTGCTTTACAGTCAGGGTGCAACACCTGCCTCTGTCAAAAAGACACGGTACATTTCTTCAACTCCTGACAGAATCTTGGATGCTCCTGAGCTTCGTAATGATTTCTGTAAGTTTGGCACGTCAAGGTTGTTCCTTTAACACTGCCGCATATTAGATTAGATTAAACATAATTTATCACACATTGGATTCATGTCGGAAATCAGTCACTATTATATTTCTATACTAAAATATAAAGATGTTGTACATAATTTGAGCTTTATGCAAGAAGGTGCTACTGTACAATTAGCTAGCATTAATTGTCTTTTTTTTCCTCCACAGATTTGAATTTGCTTGATTGGAGCAGTTGCAATGTTTTGGCTGTGGCGCTTCATAACTGTGTTTACCTGTTGGATGCCTCTCAAGGAGAGATCACTCTTCTCATGAAGCTGGAACGTGAGGAGGACTACATCTGCTCACTGTCCTGGACCAAAGAGGGAAGCTACCTCGCTATTGGAACCAGTGACTGCCAAACTCAGGTTAGTGCGCTGAGGAACATACGACTAGTACACAATAAAATGTCTTTATTCGTCCCACAAATGGGAAGTTACAGCAAAGTAAAGATAGAGACGATGAAAATGGAACACTATTATATAAAGGGCATGCACATTGTATTTAAAATAAGGACATGTGGCAATAAAATAACTGCTTTCTTATTTGCTTTTAATTATGAAATTTTATTTTCTTAGTTATGGGATGTTTACAACCAGAAGCATCTCCGCAGCATGGCCAGCCACACGTCCAGAGTTGTGAGCCTGAGCTGGAATGACCATGTTCTCTCCAGGTACAGTTTTTTTCCAAATTTCTGATACAAAAGACAAACTTCTAGTTGTGTTTGTTAGACTCAAATATGTTTCTTTCTATCCTAGTGGCTCAAGATCAGGACACATCCACCATCATGATGTGAGGGTGGCAAACCACCACATTGCGACTCTCACTGGTCACTCACAAGAAGTGTGTGGGCTGCAGTGGTCCCCTGATGGGCGATACCTGGCCAGTGGGGGCAATGACAACATGGTGTACGTTTGGCCCCGTGTGCAGGATGGCCCCGCCAACCAGGCCGTCCGCTGCTGGGATGAACATCAAGGAGCTGTTAAGGTGAGCATCAAAATGGCCCAAGTGATTTCCTTAGTCATTTTCTACACTCTCTTTTATTTCACCTTTAATAGAAAACACTCTTTCCTTTACGCCAGGGGTCGGCAACCCCTGGCACGCGTGCCACCAATGGCATGTGGCACCGTAACCAGTGGCACACTAGGAATAAGTGTGCAAAATATTAAAATTGTATTTTCGGATCCTGAACGAGACCGCCGCCAGAGCGCGTCTCCCCGTTAACTGCAGAAGGAAGCCATGCACGCAACGCAGCCCCGCTCTCTTTAACTCCAGGCGACTTTCTGCCGCTTTCCTCCGTAATGCAGTGCTGATAGTTTCACCACAGAGGAAAGCACTTCACAAATTGCATTACCCATAAGGAGCTGTAAAAATGCCGCAGTTTTTGCGTGGCGATCGATATCGGCCGATACTCACTCTCTGCCGATCGATCGGTGCTCTCTAAAAAGGCCGATCGCGAGACGTAAAATACATGACACTTTTCTCTGCGCGGCAAAACAAGCTCGCTAGCTTCACCAGTCTGGCAGTATTTTAAAGTGTCCGAAAATGACAATAAAATAGCGGTATGCAACGTGTGTGAAGCAGAAATCCTGCAGCTCCACCCGCTGTGACGGACCGGTGAGCGGAGCAAAACACACAAGAGTTAGACCTAACACACTTAGCTATTTGATCTACCTCTGGAACTACTAGTTATAAATATATTTATTCCTCACTGTCACTCATTACTGGATCAGTGAGCTGCATGAGATACTGACAGGCTGTCAGGAGAGGGGGAGAGAGGAAAAGAGAGCGCTTCCGCTCATTTCTCCCGTGTTATTATCCAAAGTTAATGTAAACTTGAATAATGTACTTCATTTGAATGTAACAATTATGTTGGTTGTTTGTGGAAGCGCCAGTGAATGAGCCCCATTAACTGAGTTTTAAACATCACTTTTCACAAGCGTTTTTGTCGAGCTCTTCACCCCCCCCATTTTTGGCACAAATGGAATACAATATTCAGAACGATCTTAATCAGTAGATCAACCAAATTCTTGTTACCACAGAATTAACCCTTCATGTCCAGAGAGGCAGCGGTTAACATGTCAGATTCTGCTATGTTGCACCACCATGTTTATATGTCAGCTCAGAACAGACAAACTCTAGCTCTACATGCAGCCTTTAGCATTTTTATTTGACACAAAGGCTACTGCAGTTCTCCAGAACTGCAGTAATACCAGCCACAATTTATTCCATAGACTGTAAAAGCTAGCTTGAAAAACTAACTTTTGGATGTGTTGACATTCTAGGCTTTGGCCTGGTGTCCGTGGCAGCCAAACATCCTGGCATCTGGAGGTGGAACCAGTGACCGTCACATTCGCATCTGGAATGTAAACAGTGGCTCCTGCATCAGTTCGCTTGACACTCAGTCCCAGGTACATACCACAGCTAGAACCTCAATGCTTATTTCAGTCAAAAAGGATTACATTTGAAAATGTATTTAACTTCAACATAACAACATGGGGGTTGTCCCTTTTCTCATCATAAACGATAACTTTGCATTTCAGATTTCATCCCTGGTGTTCGCACCAAACTACAAGGAGCTGGTCTCCGCCCATGGATATGCCCACAACAATGTCGTTATCTGGAAGTACCCCTCTCTAACAAGGGTTGCAGAACTCAATGGTAAGTCGGCAAAAAGACAAGACATGGGGAGTAAAGGAACAAAAAGAAAAATGGAAAAAACTGTATCCACATTGTTTGCTTCCTGTTGGTCTGAATGTGTTATTTTTTTAATTACAGGCCACGAGGATAGAGTTCTCAGTTTGATTCTGAGCCCAGACTTCTCCACCGTTGCGACTGTTGCTGGAGACGAGACCATCCGTATGTGGAAGAGCTTTGAACTGGATCCTATTAAGAAGAAGGCCAAAGAGAGGCTGGCCAAATCAACTAGCGGTGTCATTCACCAGTCTATCAGATGATGTGCTTTGTTTTATGAAAGGATTTTCTGTCCATGCCGGTTGAGTTATGCGCAACTGTTTTTATTTCGTCCATAATAAAGATATCTACCCAGTGTTTTAGCTGTAACAAGTTCCTGCAGTGTTGTAATTGGTCCCAAGTGTTTATACAGGATTAATAATGTGGTAAAGTACAAGTTTTGAAGCAGAAAGTGTATACATGACCTTGGCTTTTTTTTAATAATCTGGATGTATTTTACAGTTGCCTTGGTTTTAAAGGTCCCATGTCATGGCCATTTCTACTGATCATATTTCCATTGTTGAGGTCTACTAGAATAGATTTATATTGCGCAATTTTCCAAAATCACATTGGTTTCTTATACAGCATCTCTGTATAGTATGTGTATTCACTCTGTCCTAAACGGCTTGTTGGAGCTCCTGCCCCCCCCCCCCCTCCCTGTGAGCCCAGTGTGCTTGGTCGGGACGTTGCGAGGCTCGTTGCTGCGAGGAGCGGACAGGTTTCCGGGTCGGCGATAACAAGCTAAACTCATCCTGAGCGCACGCACAAACACTCACAGCCGAAGTAAAAACAAGTGTGGTTTGATATTGAGTAAGAAAAAGGTTTATAACGCTGTGAGAATGGGTCTGCGGAGAGCATTTCTCTGCGATCCCAACTCATCTATTACCAGCGTTCAGGGAGCTCTGCAAGTCAATGGGGACTCCCTGTTAGCCAAGGGATCCTGGTGTGTGAGGTGCTCCGCGGATTGGGCCAGTCCGGTCATTTGTTGATTTGGGTGTTCACACGTCACAGAACCCAGGAAGCAAACAATGGAAAATGAGAAATCTCCAACGAGGCGTTCTGGGGCAGCATAGACAGGTCTTTTCTGTGTTAGAGTTTTAATCGCTACAGGGTGTACTTTGAGGGTTTTTGACTGCAGACCGTTTACATGCATAAAAACCTTCATAACACACAAGGGGACGGGTAATAACCGGAAAAGCATGACATGGGCCCTTTAAATAAATAGTTTGATTACCCAATGTTTTGCTTCTGTCAGTTAACTGCCATGTGCTAATAATTCACATAATGGTGATAGCCTTTTTTAAATGTGTGCAATATCGTAACATCTACAAACCCACATTTTATCTTTTGTTCATGCCCAAAATGCAGCTTGCCCCTGGTTTGGGTTCAACTTCTGTTGTCTACGTCAATATCTGATCACTTAAATCCGTGTCCTCAGGAACTGTTATCACCTGTGCATATTTCCAAAGCCGCTTGCTGTGTTTTCTATAGAATTCACTAAAAGTCCTGTTGAGGTCACCATATCTGATATTTAACCAACACCTGCTGCAGTGTCAGTGTCCCTATTTCAATGATGCATGGTAACTGATTAACATGAGTTGATTACTCAAGCCCAGCATCTGATAAAATAGTTTAATGTAAGTCTCAAACAAAACTAATGTATTGTCTGACTGGATTTGTTGTAAACTATTACCTTGTAGCTGATGGATTGTGTGTAATCTAAAGATATACATCAATATTTAGGATTTACAGGAATTGATAACTAATGCTGTGACATTTTCTCTCGTCATGGTTAATTGACAGTTTTTTTTAATCAACCCCAGTACTGGTTTGAATAGCATGACTTGCTCTAATATGCAACAATGTGGGAATGTGAAGCATTTCTGATTCCAAGGGCACAGATAAAATGATAACGATCACTATGCGACTATCAGATTATCTGCAGTTCATCTCGAACCAACCTGCGCCACTGCATTACATTCATGTTTTGAGTTCTTTAGTGAAGATCCACAAAATATTTTGGTTTTTATATACATTAACCCGTTTTCTTGTGTATTGATGCTTTGTCCTCTTTCACTCTTATAATCTAAGGATTCACCTGGTGTAGACAATTATTAAAATATAAATTATTCACTTAGGTGAAACAGTTGAGAACAAGAATTCTCTGGGAGACGTGTGGCACAGTGTGGGATAGTGCGTTGGTGTTCGGATCAGGGGGAGCACAGGTTCAAACCCCACTGCAGTCAGCATGTCGTGTCTCTGGGCAAGACACTTCACCCCAAATTGCGGGGATTGTCAACAGTATTGAGTATGTAAGTCACTTTGGATAAAAGCGTCTAACAAGTAACAAGTAACATAATTACAAAACGTCTTTATTTCTGCTTAAGTCAGAAACAGGTTAATCTACTAAACATTGAAGGTTCATTGTAACAAATAAACAGCTCGACATCCAATCTGAAGTATTTATGCCAAATGAAATTTTAAAAGGCTGGCAGTGCTTCAAAACGACTTCATCTGTCATCAGTGCACATGTGTAATATAAAACAGTAAAAACACTGGTAGGTTTACAAAACAACATTCATTCTGCAGGGATATTCAGAAACAGTGCTCTTTTTTCTGATTTTAAATTTGATAGGAAGTGTATTAACTTCCTGCGAGCCCCTGCAGTGTGCTGAGAAACAGACCATGCCGGGTTCCAAAACTCAAAACAGTGTATATGTCACTACCTAAGTATGCTAAATGCATTAATACTGTAATATACAGTATAACATTTATTTTCCACAATTCCAAAAATTGAAAAAATAAAGTTGAGGTGTGGTATGTCTTTTTGAAAAGTGCACACCCTAACTGCTTTCCAAATGACACAGACCTTTATCTAAAAAGATTTATTTCAAAAAGATAAATAAAAACAACAAAACTGAATATTTGACATTTACAACAACAGCTTTGTTTTGTAGCAGGTATTTAAATGTACTGGTCTTTAGTGGAAACTGTGTGATAATCCCAGGGAACAATAGTCCTGCCTGCTAGACAGTAGGTCAGGCTGGTGCGGACCAAGCCTGAATTGAAGATACCATCAGTGACAAAGTGAGCACCAATCTTCATACAGTGTTCGTCACAGTTAATCGTTTTCACAACAACTAACAAACACAATGTGGCAAGAAGAGATCTTCACCAAAACACCCATCAAAAACAAGTGTGCACAAGACTAAATGTATATAGAACATTTAAAGTTTAGAAGTAACATATTGAAATTGTGCCAATCCAATATGCTACTAGGTCTGAATGCTGGATGACATTTTCAAGGTAGCTCTACATCAACTTCTTGTATGTCTCCTCCTGATTTCCAAAGTCACAAAGTTAGATTTCCTTTACTTTGCCCATGACGAGTTTGCTCATGACGAAATTGCCGTTGGTGTGGTGGTGCCCATTTCCATTCTCCATGTGTTTCCCGTTGGCCAACACAGCAATAGGTTTACTGGCTGAGCCGTTCTGTTTGGGCATTTCCTCCACAGAAGGAAGCCGCTTTCCCTTAATGTAGGCCTGAATCCAGAAATTAGAGAAGAGGAGGAAGAAGAAGGTGCCATACATCCAAATCAGGTGGATATACATGGGAATCTGGTAGTCACACTTTTCCATGAAGTAGTACTGGCCGATGTGAGCTGAGACGATGACAAACTGTATCTGTAAAAAAACAGAGAAAGGAGAAATTGTTATTGAAAATCTTATTCTACGCTCGATCCAATGTAAAATCATAATGTATGCCAGTAATATTATAGGACATACAAGCTGGATGGCGGTCATGTATTTTTTCCACCAAAGGTATTTCTGGAAGCGAGGTCCTGAAGCAGAGAGCAGGTAGTAGAAGTACATGATAACGTGGACAACTGCATTCACCATGGCATGGAAGCAGCCCATTCCTCCAGCTTGAAAAGGGGGAAAACAGGAAATTATTTGACTAAACATTTTAAAACATAGTTTTTCATAGTGGCACACTCACAATATATAATTTAAGGACGTTTTAAGCCATTTCTAGAGCTAAAATAGTTTGTTTATGCATATTATGTGTGTGAAATGGATTACTTTGATGTGATGCTGAGTAAACCTTACCAGGAGTCAGGGTGATGCCCCACCACCACGTCCAGGGCATGAAGGAGTGATGGAAAACGTGCAGAAATGTGATCTGGCTTTGTTTCTTCCTCAGCACAAAGAATACCTAAAAATAAAAAAAAGTAGGATAAGCATAAGTTTACACGCACAAAAGCCATGTCTCCAGAAGGTCAGATAATCAAATACGGAAAATGTTTGAGATGAGAATGTCCTTACTGTGTCAAGGAGTTCGATATATTTTGACATATAAAACATGTAACACGCTCGAATCATCTGGGGAAAGAAAAATAAGAAAATTCATTAATGTCAAAGATTCATATATCCATCTTAACCAGACAATAATCTTTGTTTTGCTGCCTTCAGAACAGTTACAAACCACGAAAGAGCATTATGGCCAGGCCAAAGGAAAGGAAAATCTTTATTTTGTACAAATTTTCCAAATAAATATTGGTTAATCTCAAAAGCTCTAGGATTCAACATTTCTACTGTATTATTGAAATGCAAAACAAAAATTCGTTTTCCCTAATTTCTGCCAGTAATAGCCTTCCATACACACTTTTAATAGTCAGAATAATTTTAGTAGTAGGCCTAAGAGCTTCTTTGCTCTGAGGCAAATGAAAAACAGTGGACTGGCTTACCCGATAAGCCTGAGGGGTGGTTGAGGTGTCAACGAGGTCACATTTCCACGTGTAGGTGGTTGCCCATCCGGCCATCAGGAACTAGATGTAAATAAAACAACAACTCATCAGCACTTATTAACATCTCAGGTTTGGGAATAAATGGGAATTTTAGACCGCAAATTGCTTAATCTTTTAGTTTACCTCATAGACAATGAAGGCATTTAGTAAAACCATGCTGAGGTTGTAGACAATCATGGCTGTGTTGAGATGAAAGGGCTTCCTGTTTGCCATCAGGCGAGGTCCAATGTACTTTGAGAAGATTACATAGGTCAACAGGATGAGGTTCATCCCTATAGGTCTCTGCATGAGGGGATAACTTTTGATTCGTTCATCTGGGGAGCACAAAAATACACATTTCTCATCTTAAAAAAGGCATGTCAGTAATGGATACACACACAGATATCTGGTTAAAACTAAATGCAGTTTATACACAGTTTTGCCAGATTCATGAAGTAGTTTAGGAAAGTACCCTTTACAAACCATAAATTGTATCATTATTCCATGAGAGCAGCAGTCATTCATATCTTAACAAAGCAGTGG